TCATTCTGAGTTATTTAAGTCTGCCGTTTGTGAGAATGTAGCCAAAAAAGCAAAAAAAAAAAAAAAAAAAAAAAACTGTCTAATATTTAAAATTTTGTCTCTCAATAGCATAATGATCAGTAGTTTGTTGATAGTGTTCCTGAACGTACACGATTTCTATAGCTATTCATTTAAATGTCATGCGGTTTACCAACCAAGTATTATATGTGTTTATATAAAATCAACAACAACAGTTCATTAAATATATATATATATTTATTTTTTTTTGTTTACTTTTGATGTTCAAATTGAAAATAAATTAAAAAATAAATAAATAAATGCAATAAATAAAATTTAATAAGTTTGAGAAAAGCAAAATATCCGTAAAATTATAAAAATCACGTGCATTTCAATTCAATGAAATGTGATTTCAAAAAAAAAAAAAAAAACAAAAAAAAAACCAGTGCGGTTTACGTGAGAATTACGAATTGGCTTAAGTTTTAAATTTTCAACGTTTAGCCAACACTCTCTGCCTAAAATATATTTCTAAAAAATCTTCAAATTCATTGAATAGATTGATCATATAAACGATTAATGTAAGTAATCATCAGCGTAATAACATGCTATCACATCCATATATCAATCAATCAAATCCATCCGATTGAATTAAAAAAGGAAAATCTTAAGCAAATTTCAATCTATAGCTTAATGTTAGTGTAGAAGGGGCCCGTGAAAAGAAAAACTACGCCTGCCGTCGGATAACCATAAATTTCTTATGTATCTATACCATGTTTATCTTCAACGTACACGATAAGTAAGTTTACTAGAAAAAACTTGAAATTATAGACCGATCTAGTCCTGTGCATCTAGCTATTTGCCATTCATTGCTGGAATGCTCCCGATTCGCAATATGTTAGTTGTTTGCGTTAATTTCGATGGGCGACTTCTACTTAGACCTTTCTCTGCCTACACTAACAGTTTTCAATTTCAATACTCAGTGTGTACAGAGGCTGATCATCGAACGCTCAAAATTGCATTTTCGACATTCATTAGTTTTGCTGTTTGGTTTGAACAAATCTGCTGGCGAAGGCCATCGAACAGTTTTAAAACCCTATGGTGATGCTGCTGCCATAATATCCCAATTGTTGTTTTTGGTTTCAATGGTTTAAACATGGTGGTGGTTTTGATGTCAATGACGAAGAACAGCTTGCGAAACCAATAAAATTCGAAGAAAAAACTAATTGGACGAAAAGTTAGCTCAAACTCTCAAGGAAGTTTCGGATAAGATAACCGCCAACAAGACGTTTACATGCGATGGGAAGAATTCAAAAAATAGGAAAATAGTAACACATTGCGGTTTCATTGTTTGCCAGCAAGGAAAGAAGACTCCTCCCTAGCGTATTATGACCGGCGATGACAAGTGGATCTACTACGACAATCCTAATAGCAAAAAGTGTTGGATTAGTCCAGGAAAATCGTCCACATCGACGTGGAATCGGAGTATTCATGGCTATAAAGTTTCACAGTGCATATGGTGGGATCAGCCAGGTGCAGTGTATTACGAGCAGTCGAAACTGTTTCTCCAGATGTCTACCGAGATCAATTGGCTAAACTGAACGATGTATTGTTGAAAAAAAGACTAGCAATAGCGGCTCCTATATCATAACGCTCGGCCACACCTTGCCAAGAGTTGTCAACGATATACTGTTGCATCCCGGATGGAAAGTTTGTCACCACACGCAGCGTACTCAGCACATGTGGCGCTTTCTGATTATTACTTATTCCGATAGATGCTCCACGACTTGCTGGACACGCAGAAGTGCGAGCATGGGTCGATGATTGAATCGCTACCAAGACAATATTGTTCTTCCAACGCGTTACCGCAAGGCTGAGAAAAAGTTGTAGACAATGATGGAAAATATTGTGGTTGCATAAATTTTTCCCAAAAAAAAAAACTATCAAAATTAACGCAATCATCTGATGTTCATACCCTTATGCATATATATGCATACATGTACATATGTGTATACACAGGGGTGTATTCTCAGCTGCAGCTCACGATTGGAAATGAATCTGTCCCGCTCACATTAAGGTTTTTGAATTTTTAAACAGCAAATTCCAACAGATATGTATCTGAATTTCGGTGCAAGCGTTAAGGGGGCGTGTAGTAGTTAAAAATTCATTAAAAATACAACTTTCTTTTTTCTTACGACGATTTCTTTAAAATAGAATAACATAACTTGATTTATTTTATGAGATGAGATATACGTACATATATGTAAGATTAAAACTGTTAGTGAGTTTCCCTTTTTTGTTTTAGTTGAAGAAACAACAAATTTCCAACGTATTGTAAGGAAAATGCATCGGCATGCAAAGGCGCGGATACGTGTCCAAACATACCAAGCCGCAATCACGGCAAGTATACTTGAACGCAGTGCGCGCGTTCGTTAAACGTGCCAACAAAGAGGACAAAGTTTGAAAATGTAATTCGGACGATCACATAGACGACATAGGCGATATAGCAGTTTGTGCATAACGGCCAAGAGAAATGCGCGTCAGAAAATTTATATAGGTTAGAATAGTTTGTCTAAAAAGTGCTAAGTCTGAGTCTTTACAAATTCAGAATAAACTTCTTACGGGAGAAAAGGGTTTGTCTACCAATTATGTTCTTTAATAGGAGTACACGACTTTTTCAGCATTCTCGCTCATTGGTGGCCGTAGTCAACACCATATAGTACCGCAATTGCTCGTTTATTTACTCATCGATCACATTCCTGCAGTGTAGCGTCATAGTAGCACGAAATCCTTCAAGGTGTGTGGCGCCTTTACGACAATCGGGTATACAATTTCCTTTCGGCTGACATATTCGATTCCCCTAAATTCGAACGCAGGGAACAATCGATCATATCAAAGTCGGCGAATAGCTCGTAACGCCTATTACAGCCATTTTATAATGTTGCTGTCCATTTTGCTTACGTACTTCGTCAATAAGCAGCATTTTTTCAGGGCCTTTGTATTGGTATCGAAACAAAAGACTCAAAAGCAGCGCAATTTTGCGGGAATCTGTGCTGTTAATATGCAAAACCATTAAAAGATACGGTTGTTTTAGCATATGACCGACTGCTCTCTTCTTCTTTTTATCATAATTAGCATCTTTTTTTTCGCAAACCTAGTTTTTTTTCTTTCTTTTTTTTTTTTTTCTTTTTTTCTTTATGATATGTTTGCCCTCAAAACGGAATAGCACAAGAATATCAAGTATACTCTTAATAAAATTCGTTGTTTGTCTATTTAAATATATTTTTTTGTGTGAAGTGTGAATTTATCTTTTTTTTTTTTCTTTTTTGTTTTTTTTGTTTTCTACTTTATGTGCTAATAAATTTTTTTTATCGAACTTGAAATGATAGTAAAAAAGGTAAAAATTTACATATCTTTATGCTATCGAAGAAAGAAGATGAATTACTCTTCTTATTCAGTTTATGACATGCAAATGCCAAAAGTATACCTTGTTGGAGATTGTGTAATTTGATCCAAATTTCTGATTCTGAATCGATCGGTGCAATAAAACCCTATCTTATCCTTTCAAATGTTGCATACATGCTCAGAAACTTAATATACTGGAAGTAGTTGGCTTAGGGTAAATGAGGCCATTCACTTCTCTTGCTACCGAGAGAAATCTTGATTACAGAAAAACCAAGATCGTATAAGAACTTTATGAAAAAGAAAGAAAGAAGACCGATCGGTGTAATAAAACGTCGATCTATCTGGACCTTTCGAATTTTGCATACAAACTTAATATAATAAAAGTAATTGACGTAGGGTAAACAAGGATATACAATTATCGATTTGTCAGAATACCCGCCCACTTCTTCTACTACGGAGGAACCTTTATTACAGAAAAAGAAAGATCGTACAAGAACTTTATGTGAAAGGGAGAAAGAAAACCGATCTATCTGGTCCTTTCGGCTGTTGCATATATACTCACAAACTTAATATAGTGGAAGCGATTGGCGTTGTGCACTTCTCTTGCTACTGCGGAATCTTGATTACGGAAAAAGAAAAATCATATAAGAACTTTACGTAAATTGGAATCCATTAAAGCCGCACAAAACCGATCGATGTAATAAGCCCCAGATCTGTCTAGTCCTTCCGTATATTGTATACATGCTTATCAAATTTAATAGTAATTGGCGTAGGGTAAAGCAGTATATACAATTATCGAATTGTCAGAATACCCGCCCACTTCTTTTACTACGGAGGAACCTTTATTACAGAAAAAGAAAGATCGTACAAGAACTTTATGTAAAAGGGAGAAAGAAAGCCGAGCGATGTAATAAAACGCGGAAGTATTTGGCGTAGGGTAAATAAGTCCGTCTACTTCTCTTGCTACCGAGAGAAATCTTGATTACAGAAAAACAAAAATCGTATAAAAACTTTACGTAAGTGGAATTCATTAAAGCCGCAAAAAAGTAAGCTACGACTTTTCCAACCACCCAATACTGTTTTTTTCAATTACCCTATTATGAGAAAAAGGTAAACTCTTTTTTTAAATTACTTAGTCATTATTTTTATGCTCTTCTGGTTAGTGTTTTTTTTTTTATTTTTTTTATTTCAATTGTTTACTGTTTTCTTAATTATTTGTTTACGTTACGTTGTTGAAAAATCTTTTGCTAATTGCTCTTGACAATTGCAATTTTTCTTAAATGTTAATTAATTAACATTTTCTTTTCTTTTTTTTTAAAAGCTAACTGAACTCATCCCTCAGTTTGTATCTCATACATACATGTTTCACTTAAGTTTCACTTGTGATTTATTTATAAGTTCAGATCACATGCTATAATTTTAGTGACGCAACCTTCTGATCATAATAATTTAAGCCGGTAAATGAAAACATTTCATGCATATTAATGAATGAAGAAAAAAATCAAAAAAAAAATAAAAATAAAAATAAAAATAAATAAATAAACAAAAAATTAACACAATTTTTATTAGAGCGATTGTGTGTTGTGCGCTAATTGAAAGAAAATCCAGAATTGCTTGCTACGTTGCTAGGCTTAAATGGTTTAATCGAAATAACTGCTCGCTTTAGTTGAAAACAAGATTTTGTGATCGAATGTTTCAAGTTTTAATAACAAATTTTTCAAATCTATTTTTTAAATGCTTTTCAATTTCAAAATTATAAATTATTTTATTGAATATGTCGAACTTTTACATACAATTATCGGATACTTAAAGTTTTCAATAACCGGCAGTAAAAAAATTATTGTTGCAGCATAAAAAGAATTCAATATGAAATTGTTGGTGTTACGCTGGTTAAAAGAAAGTTAGTAAATTGGTGAAAGTTTATGTGTCGGAGTTGAGATAACAAGCCCCGACTACTTTAGTACATGTATTATTGAAGATAAATATATAAATTTTAAAACTCGTAACACTTCACAGTTTACCGTTGCATTTTTAAAATTTTCCCTTAATTTTGTTAAAATGAAATATTTATTCTCATAAGCTATATATATATATAGATCTAACTAAGATACAAGGGATTACTATGTCGTCGATTGGGAATTAAATAAACATTGTGAGTATGTACTTTGAAAAGATGATTAAAGGATTCTTTAACTGAACTTGAGATAGGCAAAAAAAAATAAAGTTTCCCTTTGAACAAATCAAGAGCCAAGTAAGCAAATATATCACAATCAGGCTAACAGTATCTTTGATAGAGCACTTTGTCATCCGAAGTTTTAGAGAAGCGTAGAGTTATGCTTCCATTCTGCCAGAGAAACGCGATTACGAATTGATTCAATGAGATCCCCTCGACGTTTCATATGCACTGGTTTTGCTTCCCAAAATCTAGATCCCGAATGACATCGTTTAATATTAAAAAAAAAATGAAAAAAAAAATTAGATGTGGGTTGCGAACTGCTTTAGTTTACTTCCGGCTCATGTCTCTGCTTGATTGAAGAAAAAAATTATGACAACTTCTCATGGCATGAGCACTTGTGAGCGGTAGGATAATTGATTTTCTGTATATATATGTTCAGGATATAAATTCTTATAAATTCTTCATTCGATTTTAATCAGAAAATTGCAATAAATTTCCGGAAGGAAGATGTCCATCCGCGATGGAGAACAATGTTAATGCCTTATTAAACAATAATTGGTATGGTACAGTATTCCCGGAAATTTCTACCTTTACGAACAACAAAGTATTTATGTTCTTCGATATTAATCGTTGCGATTAAATTGCAAAGCTTCAAGCTTACATAAATTCCCTTTCAATGTTTATACCTCTAAAAAGAGTACGCATTTTCTGTAAAAGCAATTCGAATATAGAATAATTTCTTTGCCAATTTTTATAAAATTCCAAAAACTTGTCTTATATGAAAAAATGAATATTAGAAGTTCTGCAGGGCGTCGTAAAGCTTTTTGGCTCAGGAAGTACACTTTAGAGTGTCTGAAGCTGAGTCACAGTAGTTGCACTAAATCTATTGAAATTCTCTTTAAAGCACAATTGTACACAGGCTCCTGAAGATATTTGTGCTGCTTAAAATGTAGCTATTAAGAGCTTAGCTATGCTATGAAAAGAAGCAATCTTCAATGTAGTTTCCCAAAGCTCGATACTTTTTGGACATATGAAATGGTTGCATGTATTTTGTCCTTTTTTTGACTTGAAAAAGGCATTTAATGAGAAAAATTGAGACAATATATACATATATCAAATCAAAGTAGTTTCCATTATTTTCTACAATATTTTATAATATTTTTAACAGCATTACGATATCATATATATTGGTTTGACAGCGATCCAATCCGTCGACGCATTTTCGCTTGTCTTCAACTTTGCCGATTCGCATGCCAGCCGAGTCATGCTGCGCCGATCTGAACAAGTGGTAATCAGAAAGTGCCATGTCTCGCTGGATGTGACAGAACTTCCTACTCGAACTGCAACAGGGTAACCTTGACAACTCTTGCAACAAGTATTCAAAAAATTCCATTTTCAGTCAATTCGTGTAGTAACTATTTTAACCGCTATTGTTGGTCTTTTTTGCAACAATACAGTTTGTTCAATTGACGTCAATAGACATCTGCAGTAACAGTTCTAATCGGATTTAGGTGCTCGTAACACACTACACCCTGCTGGTCTTGTCATATGCAAAGCGAAACGTTATAGGCCATGAATTTTTCTCTTCGGTATCGATGTGGATGGCTCTCCTGGGCAACCCAATGATTTTTTGCGCTGGGCATTTTCATCGCCAGACGCAATACGCCACAGAAGACTCTTCTTTCTTTGCTGGCAAGCAAGGAAACCGCGACATTTTAGTCATTTCGTGTGGCAGCAATTTTTGCCCCATTTTGGATTCTTCCCATCGCTTATAAATGTCTAGAAATAGTTCATCCGTCAACAGCTAAGCTGTTAGAACGTTCTTCGAGAGTCGGACCTGGGTTTTCAGCCAATAAATCTTGCAAATCCAAGATCCTTGAACTTTTTTAGTCCTCCAGGCCGCTCTTTGTCATTCACATCAAAATCTCCACTTTTAAACCGTTGCAATCAAAATCGACAATTGTGGTATATGATGGAGTAACATCACCTTATGAACTTATGAATGCGTTTGGTGGACTTCGGCAGTAGATTTTTCAAATTAAATAAAAGAAGTAATGAGGGTCGAAAAAGCAACTGTGAGTGCTCCATGATTAGGTCGGGTGTACACTGAATACATCAATAGGGGAGGGAGGTCAAAACGTTCCAATTCAATCATTATGTACCTTGGTATTTCCCAATTGTTTGTCATTTCTATCTATAAAATTTGCTGGCCAAAATACATGCAAGCACCTAATACATTACACGCAATACAAAAAAAAATAAGAAAAAAATAAGAAAACAATTTGAAATGAAAACTCATTTTAGCTTTTTTTAAAATCAAAATCCGAAATTAATTTGTATATAAAATGTTTATAGGTCTGTTAAAATCGAATGCAGAACGAAAATTTTGCAATAAAAATGTAATTAAGCTCTTATTCTTAACAAATGTACTTTGGCTGCACGTTTTCTTGTTTTTTTTTTGTTTCTTTTTTCACTTGCTTGCTTGCTTATAATAGGCATCACTTCAAAGGCGGCATTAATCATAATTAAATCCTTATAAAATAAGTTAAATGCTATTAATGTCATTAATTAATTTATCATAATATCTGGAATTGAATATTTCTGTAAACAATGCGTAATTAATGGCATCGTTAAGTAATCAGTATGACATACAAACACATCAGCACGTGATAGTTGTTTTGCTAACACGTTCACTGATAACGAATTATAATGAATATCTTAAAATGTTAATTGACTCGAATCGCGTACATACATACAAATAGGACTCCTAACATAGGCTATAGAAGGGTACACAATACAATAAAAGGTAAAGAATTTCATTAAAGTAATTTTACGTAAACTTGCGTAAACACACACACAACTATCGTTTCTTTACCGGGAAGCACAAAAGCATTAATATTTATTTATCTTTGTTGTAGAATTGATAAATGCGTCAATACTTTTTATTTATTTACTCATTCAACTTTTTATCGTTGGCCTGTTTTTTTCCACCCACCTCTTGTTTATATAATTAATAGGCTTCAATTTTTGTTTTCATATTTTATAGAGTTTAGTGACGTTAGCGAATATATGGAATATGTATATACATATATATACATATATATATATATATATATACATATATCGTAGAATTCTTTGTTACTGCATTATTTTATCTAAAATGTTTGGAATTTACCTGTAGGGTATTCGAAATTCCATTTTAGTTATCTTTAATTAATATTTGTGAGAGTGTTTTTTTTTTTTTTTTTTTTTTTTAACTTCAAATCAAATCAAGAAATACATTAGAATTTAAAAATAAATTAAAAGAAATTTCGTTCAATTTTTTTTTTTTTTTTTTATCATCATAAATTTTTAAAGCATTTTTTCACTGAATATATTTTTAGTACGAAAGATACATATATCGGAAGATATGTATGAAACGTTAAAAGGCACAACAACAAAAAAAGATATGATAAATTTGTTGCGATAATAACGAAACTAGATAAGATTAAGCGAGAAGACTATCTCGACCTTAAAACGAATCTCATATATCCTCTGCATTAATTTGTTGAAATTATTATTTAATTATTTGATTTTTTGCAACACTAAGTATTGCAGTACTTACAATTTACAGAGAAAGTCGAAAAATATTTAACCTTGGGACGAATCATGACTAACAGGTATCTCGAGCAAAGTTTGAGATTTCTTGTCGGGTCTGGCGACTGAAATATTGAAATTAAAGTATTTGAATCTATTCGAAATTCTTCGAGTTTTCTGGCTGGCTCGGATCGAGCTAACTGTTAATTTTTCTTATCACTGGATGGATTAACTTGAGCAATTCAGCAGATGATTATCGGGCTTTTTATCACAATATCACACGAATTTATCGTGTCTTTTCCCGCTACCGATCTTACAGGATAGGAATATGCTATGCTACATGGCGTCTAACAATCGACTTGGAACACTCATCGTTAGACTTCATTATAGTCCTTACCAGCGAAAAGAAAATCCGAACCATTCATTTACAATACCCAGCAGCAGCCAGGCGATGGCGATATTTAGTAGAGAAAACGAACACATGGCTCATATATTCTTTGTTAATGGCCATGGAGCAATTTTGAAAAAGCATATGATACGCTTACGATAGGTGGAACTCGATAACACCTATAGGTAGACATCAATGCAAAATTTAAAAAGAAATATTTTTTTACTCCCATATAAAGATTCAATATAAAAATGGACTTCATAATCTTTCTGCTCGATCCACAAAAAAATTTTAATAGCGGATGGTCCAGTCCATAGAGTCGGTCGCGTTCATGAGAACATCTTGAATCTTAAAGGATTTCAAATATCCTATCAAACAGAACTGGTGACGGACAATACCAGGCTTTTGGGAAGACGTTACCAGTCTTCAAAGTATAATGCCGCTTCACTGTTCGACGAATGAGTGGAGAAAAGGAAGAGAGATTACTCTACTTTAACTAATACCCGTACTAGTAACAAAAAGTTGGTTTCATTAACCGCTAAATGTACTTGTCTTCTTCTTCTTATTCTTTTCTTAAATATTCAGGATAGTTCAATATAAAAATGTTTAGTGACAAAACGATTCATGAAACGAACATAAAAACTTATTGTATTTATTATTCTTTTAGTTTCGTTGTGTGCGTGTCATGAATTTAGTACAAAAAAATCTATATTCGTTAAAATGCGTACGCGCACTGTGTTTACGTTATGGTTTCTGCTTT